CAAGTGTGTTAATGTGAATTGAGGTTAAAATCTTATTATATGATAATATTATTGTAGATATGGAAGTTATGGAAACATTCAGTGCCATTTAACCCCTTAAGGACCAAACTTCTGGAATAAAAGGGAATCATGACATGTCATACATGTTATGTGTCCTTAAGGGGTTAAAGGACACGCTAAGCACCAGAACCATTATAGGTTGAAATATAATACATGTCTCATACATATGTTTCATATTTCTAGCCTTGAAATACATGTTGTGCAAAAAATTACGTTGGGTTTTATTTACTAAACACCATATTGCATGGGATGGGAAATAACAAATGTATTTATTTATTTTGCATACTAACCATACACGCAGTAATTTTGTCCCAGCAGAACAAAGCATTTGAATTACCTTGAGCTGAAGGACTTGTAAGACAAGGACCTTGGTCCTGTAGTCTCCAGTAAACATTTAGAAGCCCAGCATGATTTTGGAAAGTCGTTTTCTGTTTAAACGTGCATTATTTATCTGCCATTACCTTGCTTTTCCATAAGGGAATACTCAAAAGCTAGCTGTGCCATGGGTGGTGGTTCTTGGTAGTAAATAAAATGTATTTATTAGACAGGTAAATGAGTCTCTGGATGGAAGCTATATTGTCATCCACTTTCATGAATTTATAAAGAGTAAAATAAAATTCTGTTGTAGCTACTTTAAATGACACTCAAGGGTTGCAAGTGTCTCCTACTCCTTTTTAATGCAATATATAAGTAACACATTAAAAATATGCAAAAACAACAAAACAAAAACAAATTTCCATACTCCAAACTCACAGACACGCACACGTAGACAACCTTTTCAGACACATACACACAGGGCCAAAAATTTGCACCCCCGCACCCACCATATGACCACCATGTGACATCACAATGCCCCACCCATATGATCTGCTATATGAACTAACGCCAGTGCTGCACACAGTGTGTGTTTACATTAAAAGGCCTGCAGGGACCAGCTATAGACACCAGAACCACCACATTAAGCTACAGTGGTTCTGGGGACTATAGTGTCCCTTTAATGTGAGGTAAATTAGAGATTAGTGTCACTAATAATATACTAGATTGCCTACTTACAACCAGATGAGGATGGTGATGGGCTCTGGCTGAAGTTTGGCTCCACTGGTCTGGTGTAGAACAGGATCTCTGGAGGCTGTTTGTAATTGTGGTCACAAAAATCAATGTTCTGTGGGAACAGGAAAAGCTTCATTTTTTGGAGCCCTTTACACAGCTCAAGGTCTGGGCCTCCAGGGTCTGACGGTGAGTATGCCCATAAGGCCCACCCATAGAGGATCTAATGTGTGTGCTTATGGAATGTAGAATATAGGGATACCAGTTTGTGTAGGCGATGTATTGTGTGTGTAAGGGATGCATTGTGTGAATCTGTGTTTGTATGTGTAACAGATGCAAGGTGTGTTTATGTGTATGTAAGGGATGCAGTGTGTGTGTCTGTAAGGGGTGCATTGATGGTCTCTAAGGGGTGAATTGAGTGTGTGCAAGAGAATCAGTGTGTGTTTGTGTGTGTGTATGCATTGTGTGTTTCTGTGTATGTGTGCAAGGGATGCATTGTGTGTGTAATGGATACATTGTGTTTTTCTGTGTATGTATAAGGATGCATTGTGTGTGTGTATTGTGAAAGAGAGTTTGTGGGGTAAGATAGGGGCTGAGAGGGGAGCAGAAAAAATATAATTTTTTTGTTTTTGTTTCGCATCTTACATCCTCCTTTAGTGTATCTCTTGCAAGCCCCTTGTTTGTCTCTTATCCCCTTTCTTTGTATGTCTCCTACATCCTCCTAACATTTTTGTGTGTCTTACTTCCCCCAGTCCCTTTGTGTGTCTCCCCCCCCAAGGCCCTCTGTGTGTCTCTTTCTCCCCTACCAGCACTTTTGTGCTTTTCTTTCTCCCCTTCCTTAGCCTCTCAATGTGTCTTCCACTCCCCTGTCCCTTAATAATCTCTTTCACTCCCACCCGTCCCTTGGTGGTCTCCTCTCCTCCCCCTGTCCCTTAGAGGTCTCCCCTCTTGTCCCTTACTGCTCATCCTTCCTGTCCCTTAGAGTTCTCCCCTCCTGTCTCTTAGTGCTCTCTCCTACCCCCAACCCCCATTAGTGGTCTTTCCTCTCCCCTCTCCCCCTTGGTGGCCTCTCCTCTGCCCTCCCCTAGTGTTTTTTTTTTCTTCATTACCTCTTTTTCTGCATTACCTCATTTTATTTGTACTCTCTCCAATGTAAATAAGTATGAATGGACATTTTAACATAAACCACAAAGCTTGATTCACAATGAAGAAACTTCTAATGGGGAAACATCTGCCTGTCCTGGGGTGGGTAAAATTATCACCCCACAGGAACTACAACCCAGACAGGGAAAGAAGCCCCACTTGACTGTCATGAGATGATGTTGTGTCTTATTTGTAAAAGTACCTATGTCAGCCTCTAATACTTTTAGTATGCCATCAGTGAAATAATGGTGGCAATTTGAGAGTTTTTCCAATCTGAATATTTGGGTAAAAAACTTGCCATTCTTCACAATTCTCTATTATGTCTGCTTGACACATGTCTTTAAAACAGTTTCATAACAACTCTGCAGGAATACAATACTCAGGGTGTCGTTTATAATAATGCTGGTAACTTTGATTTGGTTGGAATGTTAGGACAAGGATTAGGGGTAGGTACGTTTGCGGGTTAGATATAGGGTGTTTAGAGTTAGGTGTTCTTATGGGTATGCTTAGGAAGGCTTAGTAATGGATTACGGTATGATGGATTTAAGGTGGGTATAGGATTAAGAGGATCCTGCTTTCTTTATTTTGAGAACTTCAACTCCCACAATTCTGAGCCAGGTGAAACCCAGTTTGGCCCAATCAGAAAAACTTTGTGTCCATAAGCCTGCCATATGGGTATGCTGCTGTGGGGATGAAAAGCTGTTAACGGCTTTTGATCCCCACACTTTGACTTCTCTCCTGCAACTGTCAAAAATAACCTACTAAGCCCTCAGTGAATACTTTTCTAGCAATCTACTTTAAACCCCTTCTTTTACCCTTTGTGTCACTATACCCCACTCCCTCTAGCATGTAAGCTCATTGAGCAGGGCCCTCCATCCCTCTGTTTCTGTGTGTCCAACTTGTCTGGTTACAATTACATGTCTGTTCGTCCACCCATTGTACAGCTCTATGGAACTTGCTGGCACTATATAAATAATAAAATAATAATAATAATAATACCCTCCATTGTCACAGAACCATGTACAGCAGTTTTCCTCACATTTTATTAAACAAGTCATTATAAAATTCATGCCAAAGTCAACATTTTTAAAGTATATCCTTAGACACAAAAAATGGAGGACCTTGCCATCCATATAATTATTTTCAATAAAAATATGTGAAAATGGCTTGGTTGTTTTAATACAACAGTTAATTTTCCCATATTCTATTTATAAACATAAAGTATTTTGGGTGACACATACCCGTTAAAAGTATCGTGTGTACCCTCTGTGTGTTCTAAGCCAGCAAAGCCTTTAATTCTCTCCATTCACACGTTGAATAGACTGCTGACTAATAAAGTAGGTGAGTACCCTTTGTTGTTTGTTTTGTATTTTAGTCACCTTTGTGTATGTTTTGTTTGTTTATTCCAGCAATGTGTTTCTGAACAATCTGTACATTATACGGTTTTCTGTGTGCTATGCAAGCTTCGGTTATAAGAGCACAATCGAACAGGCATACAGTCACAAATTTAAACATAGAGGGATTTGTTCACCAAACTCTGAATTGTAGAAAAATGAAATCTTAATGATGCAATTGAGGTAAAATTGAGGCATTTGTATAGCTCCAACTTATTCCGCAGTGCTTTTTACTGTGTTTTAAACGTGGAATATAACAATTGAGACAAATGTTTACAAATTTTGACCGGAACAGTACGTTAATGAGGACCCTGCTCCAATTACAATTTATAATCAATAGTTGCAGATTAGCTATTGTAGTCTCAGTTTTGCAAATTGAATTTTAACTTGCTGCAATTTTGAATTTAGTGAATATTCCCTGTAAAGTTTAACCATATGGTCTTTTCACCAAACCGCTAATTTTGTTTACTTTAGCTTCATTTAGACCACGATAAGAGAGAATAAAGGGAAATCGCAATCGCAATCTCTATGCACTGGAGGTTTTTTAAATTTTTCAGTTTGAATATATTATAACCATCATATTTCAATGTATTCCCACCTCAACAAAATTCACTAATTAGTGCATACTGCCCGGCAATCAGCCAACCCTGCCCAGACACCCTATTTGCATGCCCCAAGAGAAGTGGTGAAACTTCGCCAGAGCATCTGCTGCATCTGCGTGTGCGTGTGTGTGTGTTGGTGTGTATATGTCAGTGTGTGTATATGTGTTTGTATGTGTCAGTGTGTGTATCTGTATGTGTGTCAGTGTGTTTTTATGTGTGTCTGTGTGTATGGTAGTGTATGTGTTTATTCATGTGTCTTAGTGTGAGTATGTGTCAGTGTGTATGTGTGTGAGTTTGTATCTGTGTGTGTGTCAATGTGTATCTGTGTTTGTCTCAGTGTTTATGTGTATATGTGCATTCTTCCTAGCAATCAAACACAAACATTACATACAAACACACCCATGCAGTAAAACACTAAAATTAAATACAAATACATGTGTTCATTCAATCACCAATACTACACACAAATGTACACCCACACTTAAAAGCTGACACTACATACAAACACACCAGTACATTTAAACGCATGTATTACAAACACACCCCTGTTTTAAAATGCCCAAATTATATACAACACCCATTCATTAAACACTTCATTCAACACTACACACAAAAGTACACCTGCATTTAAAAGTAAACAGTACATACAAAAACACACATACATGCAAACACATACTCTATACAAAAACATGATTACACTAAAACGCACAAACACTACTCACAAATACAAACCTGCAAGGGTGGGTAAATGCCTAGTAGATCCCCAGTTGGCATAGCATGGTGGGAGTTGTACAAAATATAGGGGGCTACCTTTTGGCTACCCTTCCGCTAGCAGGGGGCCCAAAATAATTTCTTGCACCAGGGACTTGTCTACATTTGTTCTGCCAATGCAGAAGAGTGGTAAGCGTTAAATACACAGCTCTAGAGTATTTGTAGAAACAGGAACAAAAGCAATGATGCTCCATTTGAGATATCCAATTAATTGCTCTCATCTCAGGCACTAACGGTTGTTTTAAGAGTAACTAAGAGTTATTTAAAATAAACAAAAGAAATAAAGAAACCTTTACTTGTAATTTTTCATTTTGCTGCAGAAGCACAGCCATAAAATAGATTTACCTAATGGAAGTTACTCTGCTATCAGTTCATTATAACCTCTCTGTTACTTTGTATTATCTTCTCATCCCTTGAATCCACTATCCATCCACCCATCCCTGCATCCCTCCATCCATCCATCTATCCCTGCATCTCTACATCCCTGCATCTCCCCATCCCTACATCCCTGCATCCATTCCTCTATCCCTGCATCTCTACATCCCTCCATCCATCCATCTATTCCTGCATCTCTACATCCCTGCATCCATCCCTGCATCTCCCCATCCCTACATCCCTGCATCTATCCATCTATCCCTGCATCTCTACATCCCTGCATCCATCCCTGCATCTCCCCATCCCTACATCCCTGCATCCATCCATCTATCCCTGCATCTCTACATCCCTGCATCTCTCCCTGCATCCATCCATCCCTACATCCCTGCATCTCTCCCTCGATCCCTGCATCCATCCCTCCATCCCTGCATCTCTCCCTCGATCCCTGCATCTCTCCATCCATCCCTGCATCCCTCTATCCCTGCATCTCTCCCTCCATCCTGCATCCACCCCTCTCTCCATCCCTGAATCTCTCCCTCCATCCCTGCATCCACCCCTCTCTCCATCCCTGAATCTATCCCTCCATCCCTGCATCCACCCCTCTCTCCATCCATCCCTCTATCCATCCATCCCTGCATCCACCCCTCTCTCCATCCATCCCTCTATCCATCCATCCCTGCATATCACTTTCTCTCCAGTGTTCCTCCTGCCTGTCTCTCCTCCTCCTGCTTTCACCTAGCAGTTCCCCAGTCCCTGCTCTCCTCCTCCCATCCTGCCCCTCCTCTCTGCTTATCTAGCGTCTGTTCTTCTTTACTCTCCTCCCATCCTTCCCTGTCTTTATCAGGCTCTGATCGCTCTTCCTTGGGCTCTCTCTCTGCCCCCTGTCAGGTCCTGTTTACTCGTCCTCGGGTTACAAGAAGGCAGACGATGAGATGTCCGGAGCAACGTCCAGTGCTGACCTGGGGGACACAGCTACCCGCATCATCCTTCTCAACCTGCCCCAGACCTGCAAGTTCAGGGACAACAGAGTCAGGTGAGAGGGCAGGACTTGGGCCACAGTCTGAGGGC